AGCTGAGTGAAAAGAAAAGACCAGAGGTAATTTATAAAAAATTGCAAGTATAACTTGGGCAACCTCCTTCACATCCTCTTAGAATCCCTTACGTTATCTGACATTTAAATACAGTTTCTATACAGTTTTCTGAGATAGAGAAAATAAAGCTTTGCTTTTCTTGCATCAGAAAAATAGGCAGTATTTGCATTTTGAGAGGAGACTGCAAAACAGAGATGATCCACAAGAAGGAGAGATATATTTTTGTTCAGTAATGATTTTTTCATTATAGCAGTTTCAAAAACAGATCTTGTACTAATGGCAAGATGTGGGATAAGGACTCTTTCCCCAGTCTGCAGCCCTGGAGGAAAAAAAGGGAAGAAAATAAAAGGTGGCAAACTATTTGAGGACTGGACAAATATCTGGCTAAGACAAAATTAACCATTGATCTAGTCATGGCAATTTCTAAGCATTATTGATTTGAAAGCCCAGGTCTGCATACAGTAAAACAGAATCAGTAAAGAAGTACAGTGACAGAAAAATTCAAGTGTATTGTAAGCGAATCTTTCAGATAGCAAGGGTAAAATTTACTCCAGAGGAGGTAAGGAAAGGTTATTACGAACACTTTCCATACAGGGCAGCAAAACAAGTATATGGATGTAGATTGCATGTCTACAGACTTTGCACTGGAGAATATGATTATAAGCGTTTAAGTAGTACTCCAGACAGATCAATACATTTCTAAGCAACAAGAGAAAAAGAATAAGCCTCACAATGATAGAAAGACTGCCAAACCAAAGGTTCAGAGGGCCCATTAGCCATTTTCTGTATTGATTGTTATCAGTCACTTCAGTGGGAAGTGAAGATTAATTCAACTGGGGTAATTATCAAACAATCAACCTACAGGGAAAATTTATTTCCCAGCACTGGTGGTTGTTCATTCCCCCAAAGCATGACAGGATACATTCTGTCTACTTTATGCAAAGAAGTATGGGTGTAGAGCACCATGGATGATGGGAGAACGCAGGTAAAGCAAGCAGAGCTAGTTCACATTCCCATGCAGATGGCCCTGGAAACAGGCTAGCTATGTTCCCGTGGTGCTGAAGGCAGTCATCCCAAATTAATAATCCCTGCACAGACCCACGCAAATCCTCATGGTATCTCTTATAGCATCCAACTACATATGATCATGGTTTGGGCACATACACCTGGTTCACCTCCCTCATGCACATGCATATTTGGCGTGGATTCCTCATTGTTTCTTACAGCTGATGAATTTCCCTGTGCCAGTGACTTTGCTTTGTGAATAATGGTATATAAAGCGAAGAAAACATTATGTTAATAAGGTGTTGTCTTTTTTTTTTTTAATCTGGTTTTGAGTTTGTTGTCTTTGACTGTCATTGAAGAGTCTCTTTATTCCTATTGTAATAAAATGCAAATGAACATCGCTTCTGTCAATGAGGCCCATTCACTTTGGGTCTTCCCAATCTAAATAGCCCTGGATTATTTACTTTCAACCTCTCTTTGTACAGATATCTTTCTATGCCTTTAAGTAGGTACATTACTATTCCTAACAACCTCCTATTTCAACAACATATTTTACTTTTACTAGAAATAAACAGCCTTCGAGATAAGATCCTTCTAAAGCGCTTCACACACTCTTTCCTTTTCTTGACCAACTTAAATAATAGCATGTCATCTACAATTTTTGTCACCTTGCTTTTTCAGATACTTCTCCAGACAGTGAATAAATACATTTACCCACTCTGGTATCAGCACATATCCTGTGACACACTACTCTTAAATTTCTTATGATGCTGAAAATTGACTTTATATTTTTTAATACTTTTTTCCTCTTTTTTCCCCCCTGCAAACTTTCCCTTCCCTTGTTTCTCTCTCCCTCTTTGTATGATTGTCCAATTCCCTCTCAACACACACAATCACAATTTTCTGATTTCTTCAGAATTTTTATTCAGCAGTCGGCTGTTAAAGTTGACAGGCTGCAGAGAAATCACTGGGACCATAGACACAATAACTTAACTTGTAAAGTTGATATTTCCCATATCCACATCACGTATTGGATGCCTATGACCAGACACCAACAGGTGAGAAAGCTGGTATTAATCTGCCCTGGTTAATAACTGGCTACAAACAAGATCTTTATCTGTTCAATTAAACAGGTAAAAATTAGAAAGAACTTTAAAGAACTGTAAGTGAACGTTAAGGAACAACACTGTTCTCTAAATGCAATGATGCTGCTCGTTGTTGATGATCTGATCCCTTCTTTGAATTCATCCTTCACAGACTCAAGGCACCGTAATTCCCCGAAGTCATTAGCTCACTGCAACTCTACTTTGAAGAGCACTAAATGAGTCATATCCCTGGATTTTACATTCCACCTCCAAATTCTTCAGCCTGAACACATTTTGGGCATAAAGAGGTTACCACTTCTTGAACTGTATACAAAAAGAAATGCCAGCCTGAGTAAAAGCAAATCTTCATTTAGACCAGGAGCCCACCTCTGCCTTTGAGGGTGAACAGATACCCAGGGAAGCAAGAGAAGTGAAAGGTTTTCCTGACACTCATTCCCATTTCTCAGCGATCTTTGCCTCACAGCTGCCTGAGCTGGGAACTGCAACTAAATCTCCATGTTTAATTGCACCTTCTAAATCCACCAGACAAAACTGGGGCTTTTTCCAGCTTGTTTTTTTCCTTCTGTTGATACATTGGCCTCCTTGATGTCCTGTGGTAGTAAGTTTCAAGTTAAATTATTCATTGCATCAGGAAAAAGAAAACAAACAAACAAAAAAACCCCAACAAATCCTGCTATCTAATAATGTAACTGTCCCTTAGCTCCTATATGTTGAAAAAGAACCAATCCCTATTTGTGTTCTCTATGCCACATATGATCTCAATGCTTTCCTGTGACAGTTCCCTTCACCAGCTTTTTAATTTGTTTAGTCTCCCATACATGGAAGCCATCCATGCTTCTGACCATTTACATTTTCCTTTCACAGGAGTTGTGGTATGGATTTATGTCACTGAACAATAATGTTGACTTTTGTGTCTCTGTTCCTTGTATGTTCCCAATATAACAACATAGAATTTCATTTTTTGACTTTCCCTGAATATTGATACTTTCAGAAGACTATGCAGAAGCATTACCTGAAAAAAGTAACAAATTCAGAATCCATCCCTGTGTACGTTATTTTTTTCCATACTTTGCACTTAATCTATTACTGTAAACAATTTTTTTACCAGCATAACAGTAAGGTATGTTCTCAGAGAGAAAAGAAGCTCTTGTGATTAAGGCACCCAAACCACATTTAGATGATACAGGAACATAACCCAATTGTACCTCAAACTCTCTGGACAACTGTAAAATAGTAATTTCTTTCTGTATCTCAAGTCCTCTTTTATGCAATAGGAATAATAAAGATGCCTGTGACAAATGACCTTTCCCCACCTCAAATGATGCATCTAGGGGAAAAGAAGTAATACAAAAAAGTTTTCCAGGCTAGGACATTCTGTCCGTTTTCCCCACCTCCACTTTTCTCGTAACCAAAACAAAAATAAGTATGTCAGCAAGTTCATTACAGCTAGAGAGAAAATCAGGTATATGCCTTCTGGACTTCTGCCAGCTAAAATTTATTTGAGGAAAGCAGATGCTTTCTGCAAGGAGTTTGTCAAAAATCCTACTTCTTCAGCAGAGATAAAAAGCACTGACAATATTTTGATCACACGTATTTATATGGTAAATAATAAAAATAAGCACATTTCCCATACTGGAGATCAAGGAAGGATATTCAGACGGAAAGGTGAAATTCTAGTTTCAATTCTTACGAGATTCCACAACATTGAAAGAGACACATCTTATTAAATATTTGTTACACTTGAATAAAAAACATACTTAATAATTAACAGGTGTGCATTTAATTAACATAATGATTGCCCAATTAAATCAAAATGAAAATTTAATTTGAGACACTTTAAGTACAAGGAGATTAAGGATAAAATACGAATACCCTGAGTCCTTAGTTTTCAGGACTGAGTGTGGAGATAGTATGTGGCAAAGTAGCTCAACCAGAATTAGCAATTTAGAAGGGGTAATAAAATATTCTTTCATCTGCACCTGGCCACAGGAAGGAAAAAATGCCAAACATGAGACAGTCTAGGAAATGTCCTCTCCATTTCTAAAATAAAAAAGCAGAAAGGAGGCTCTACCATCTACCTCAACCCACAATATGGGCTATATCTTTTTTTCTCATACCCTTGGCATGACTGTCCTATAGACAAAATAGGACCTACTTAAGGGGAGAATTTGCCAAACAGGTATATTCATTTGAAAAATTTTTTATTTTAAAACTACAGAACTATAAGTTTGAGAAGTCTCAACAAAGAGGTCACCTTGCCAGGCTCTTGCTCCTCTACCTGTCTCTTTGGTGTCCCTCCTCCTAAGAACATCATGCCCTCTCCTCCACACAGATGCCTAGGACAATCAGGGGTTTTATCCTCTGGGACATCAAAGGCAGCACACTCATATAAGGGACAGTATTCCTGCTTAAGTCAGACTGGAAGGGTTTACAGCTAGCTCAGTGCAAGGAGTTTAATAATTCTTCCCAGATCTACTGTTCTAGTAAAGCAGAGAAACCATTCACAGTTACAAAAGAAGGTCTGAATTCTAAGTTTCTACATCTTTAGTAAAAAGTACAAACATCTCATTAAAAGTTACAATATGAAAAATACATCAGCAGTGACCTTTAAAAGGTGCAAATACCATTGTAAACACCACTTAGCAACAGTACAAGGTGAGTCCTTCAAACTTAAAGTTTAAAAATTGCTTTTACATGGATCCTATTCAAGGAAACACCTCAGAGTTGAACCGCAATTACTACCAGTTCTCTTCTTTTTCCCACTACTGAGACACCCATGACTGCGGGGTCTTCTTAGTAGTACAATGAAAGACATACCAGCAACATTAGAGGCAACATAAAGTACCAAAGACAAGGTTAGATCGTTACCTGTTATATTGCAAAATACACGGAGTGGTCCAAGTGGTCCACTTCCATCAGAATCGATGTAGAAGAAACCTGATGTCTTCCCTTGGTGTCTATAAGCCTCACAAGATTTTTCATAGATAGCTTAAAAAGAGAGAGAAAGAGATTGTATCATATAAACAAGGAGAAAACAGACAGACACATTTTATACATGAGCACTGCTTTAATCATTGTCATAACATAAACTGTTGGTTCACTGCTGATTAGCATGTGAAAGAGTTTACTGCGGTTGGACCTAAGTCCATGCCCAGAATTAGGCATGTATTTAACTACTTCCTTGAACTTAATATGTTCTGGCTTTAAAGATAAAGGTATTGGCCTTATTTTGGATTAAAGTATGTAAAGACTTAAGTAAATGGATATGAACTTTCAAACACACCACCATCTAGTTATGGAGTGATACATACAGGCATCTGTATAATGATATTTCAAAGACAGACATATATACACACGTGTACATGATTTACTACCTAGGCATGCACTCAAGCCTTGTCAATACCGAAGACAGGTATTTTTGTCAGTCTTCAGCTTCCCTGAAGGATATTGTTAACAGGTAACTACAAGGCCCTACCACTGTCTACTGCACAAGCGAAAACAAGCCATTGTTCCTTAGCAGAAAAGGTCAAGGTCAGATACGGTCTCCATCCTGGGTGACAATTTTATGCTTTAGACCTTTTTTTTTTATACAACCAACTCTTCCTCTCTGCCTATCAGTATTCTTCTTTTGGAGGATTAGTACCCATGAAAATGCCAAGTGGCTAATAAAACAAGCACAGCAGGTCACCAAGAACAAGAACAGGAGGAAAAACTCCCACAGGTCAGTGCAATTCCTTGTAGCTGAGGCATGTTTTCAGGCAAGTTATCGTAACTTCACATGGGGCAAAGAGAAAACCTCTCCAGAGAGGCAGTTGTGAGGTATCAGAGTCACATGTATGATCCTGGATCTTGAACAACAGTAACCTTAAATCTCATTGCAGGAGGATCGATTTTTTTTCCACCTACTTAAACACTTACCTGATTATACTCACAAGGTTATGCTCTGTAACAGCTTATGATTGTTCAACTAATTGTCAGCAAATACAATAAAAAACACAGATTGACTTAGCAGATAGATCAAGACTTCCTTTTTTCTTCCCATGAGATGAAGTTATTTGGAAGACACAGTAATGGAAATGCAAGCAAACAGAATTACCCCTAATCTTCAAGTAAGCTTTTGGGTGCTCCCAGTAGCCAGACACACAGAAATATACTTGGACATCATCTTTGGCTGCTGCAAGTTCAAATCTATCTTTTTCTTACCTCTTAATTTTAAAAGCAAATTTAGCTACCATTTGCACATTTTTACATGATTATACAGTAAACACTGGACTTACACAGATTGGGATATACTCAGGGGAACTTATGAATAACTCATTTGTTAGCCACTACAAATCTTTTTTCCAAGCTCCCCACTCTTCAGGCAGCAGGGCAGTACAGTTAAACTTGATATGGCATAATATCTGCCGTGTCGAGGTTGTAAATAAAATTGCAAAGTTCCCAGTGCCTTTCATCTGGAAAGAACTCAAGGAGATTTACAGACCAACTGCAGGGAGAGCACTTCTCACCCCTTCTGAAATGCGGTCCCAGCCTCTCCCACAGAAGGGAGCAATTGCTCTGCACCAGCAGGAATAGTTCCTCATTCCCACTTCTGTGCACACATGGACTCACATCCTTCCTTTCTCCTCAATCTCTAAAAATGGTTTCTCTAGTGAAACAAATTTCAGAAAGACTTAAATAGCCAGCCTGAAGTAGCCTCATCTGACTACTACCCTGAAGAATGCTATAAGATAGTTCTTTACTCAGTTTATAATGAAATTTAGACACTTCTTCACTTCTGCCAACAAGACAGAATCACAGTTCTAGGGGCTCCCATCCCAAACGTTCTATGAATTAAGAGTCTTGCCAGTCAGTCACTTGTACCACTTGCTGAAATATGCTTTCCCCTTGTACATTTCTCTCTTGACCAGGTATCTTTAGCAGGCAGAACATCACTAAGTGCTGAATATGCACAGCATTATCCTTCCTGGAGTTAAGAAGCTGCTTAAGGCACTCAGCACCTGGTGAGACAGTGCTTTAATTAGTATCCATCCTATAATAAGAAAGCTTCTTCCTGACAGTCATTAGCCTGATGTAGAAAGCACTGTAGGAGTCCAGAAGATCTCTAAATACTCTCTCTGATAGTTGGCCAAGAGTATATGTTAAATGCAAATAAAATAAAATCCCCAAACCAGAACCCATTTTTCCACTATTCACAACCTGAGGGGCCAACAGAATGTCCCTCAGTTGCCAAAGTGCTGACAAAAGCAACTGGGATATGGAGGGTCAGGAGAGAGACCGTAACAGGCAGTTAAGTAAGCAATCAAGGAATCATGGTTTGATCAATTTACAAAGTTCTCAAACTGCAGTTTACTTAGTGAATTTGCTGTCATCATCATTACAGGACACTTTATCTTGCCTCATTAGGGAATATGCCAATTGCTTCCCCTGAATTGTTTGCTGAGTAGTTTTTGAGACAAAGGATGGTGCAAGGGGCAGAGACATAAAACTAATGTTGTCAGTGAACTGGCACAGCTAGAAACTCATTCTTCATCACAAACTTTTTCTTACTAAGTGTTTTGCTTCTTCTTGACTGTCATTTTGGCTGGAGCCCAGACATACTTTTTTCAAATTAATAAGGAAAGAAATGAAGATTCAGCCATTAATAATGTGGGCATATGCAAACAGAGATGATCTACTCACCTTTAGATGGCCCCTTTGTCAGTGTAACTTTGGAAAGGAAAGGCTGTATAGATCTAGAAATCACACTAGGGGTGCTCAAGTGGTGTAAATCTGAAAGGATGCACAAGCTTCAGTGAAACTACAGTTATGTCTGCCAGGAGAAAATCCATCCTGGTATGTTTTCCTTCTGGTTATATGAGAATTCGAGCAGTAAATACTAGGGAGTAGCAGAAGAAGTCAGAAAAGGCTATGCACCTCGAGCTCTAGCACATAAAACATATTCTAACTACCATGACTTCGAGAAAAGCTGTTTTGGTGGACAGTTTATTTTGTAGCTGTATGCTCGAAGTTTCGCATGTCTGTATCTTAAGCATTTGGTACTGCATACTTCTAGAGTGGATGGGCCATTGCTTTTAGTTCTCTATTTTGCTATTTTATGCTGTATAATGCATCAAGGATAAAATGGTATTTGTTTTCCAGTCACTGGCAGATGCCCCCACAGACATTTCAAGTGCACCATCCATTCCAAGCTCGCTTAATGTCATTGCAGGCTGAGCCAATCGCTTGTTTCAGAACAAAGTTACGCAATTCCATTTGCTGAAAAAGGCCCTATTACTCCAGTGACAACAACTTGAAGCTGTCTTTATGGTTCAAGGAAAGACAAGATCACTTTGCAGTCATTCTTCTCTTTATGCAATCAGAAATATCATACAAGAATAAAAACCAGACGAACAGTCAGCTGTGACTGTAAAGACCCCCGAGCCTTAACTTTGAAAACTGCCTTCATATTTATTTTCTGTTTTGTGCCAGGCTTCTCTGATGTAGATAGAGATGTGGTTGTTTTGGGAACAGTAGGAAACCATTATTGTAGTTGTCATTAAAGAGTCACCAACCATTTATGCATGTAATAGGGCCTCACTTTCAAAAAGCAAGCAGCAAGTGTAATCATGAAACTGTTGACAAATGCATACATTTTAATGTCAACCAACATTTGCAGTAATTACACCTTTTTAATAAAGGAGAGGTATTCATCAGTTCATTCAGAGTAGAACCCATCAACAATTTTCAAGCATTATTTTTAAATTAAAAAAAAAATCACAAACAAAACCCAGTGATTTTGTTCCTTTCTGTGAAGCATTTTAACAGTGTTTATACTTTCACTTCTTTGGGTTTGTTTTCAAATTTTAAAACATTCACCAAAATCAGACTAAAACAACAAAGATAATGTTCTTTATAGGCTGCTCATGCAAAGCTTGTTTTCTCTTTAAAATGCTTAATCAAGCACTTTTTTGAAAACATAATTTCAAAAATGAAACCTCTAAGTTGTCTTTTGTCTCAAAGAAAGAAGATCAGTTTTCCTTCTCCCACCCTCCCACACTTTTTTGGGACTAATTTTGACTTATACCAGCCATTGAAGATAAAATGATAGTTTCCAGCAACATTTGTTTCACTGAGTCAGAACCACTGAAAATCACCCTTTATGACTTTCAGCCCCTGCTGTGTTTCCTCAGGCCCTTTTGGGAACAAGCTGCACTGCCATGCAGCAATAGCACTGCAGTTCCTGCCACCCAATTCCCACAGGCATTCGGGATGAAGCTGTTTGCTTCATGGAGTTGCATCACGCTAGTGCTCGATGGAAAGAGATGTCAGCAGCGTGCGTGAACCCGTGCTACCCCCCTGCAAGTATGGCTTGAACCTCAGTCAGGTATGGCAGGTAAAAACATTAGGGTAAACTACAGCACAAGGCAAATAACGAAGTGTGAAAGGTGTCATAGGGGCAGAGTTTGGCTGATGGGTAACAGTATTGCTGGTAACAGTGGCTATTCCAGGAAGACAAAAGAAGAAACAGCTTGACTCCAAGGTCCCAGATTTAGTAAGGGAAACCGGACATCAGAAATATCCATTTTACTTGGTCACAAAGAGACTGGATGTCTTTTATTGCCCCCTTTTTTTTTTTTTCCCCCTTTTTTTCCCCCAAAATTACTTATATGCTATAACATTGGACCCTGTGCTGACATTTTTGCAGTGCTCTTTAAGGAACTTTTTTAAAGGCTACTGCTGTGTTTCACAAAGAAATTTAAAATCCTCCCAGAGTTAGCTACTGAAACTGATGCAGCCTGAGAGCCCCATTCTTCATACCAAGTGCTATTTCCCTAAGTACTATATGTGCTCTTGCCTTCCCGCTAGGATAAGCCGTGCTGATGGTGTTCAGGCATGCACAATACTGACAGAGTTCAAGATATCTATCTCCCAACCCCTTATAATCCTCTGTGAAACACATATACCCAATTTCTCCCTCAGGTATCTCTTTCAGACTTAAGTATCTC